TTGAGTTGGAGTCTCACTCTGTCACCCATACTGGAGTGTAGTGGCCGCACCTGGCCACCGCAGCCTCGACCTGCTGGGCTCTGGCGATCCTTCTGCCTCAGTCTTCCAAGTAGCTGGAACTACAGGCACGCTCTACCACACCCGGTTAATTTTTTTATTTATTGTAGAGATGAGGTCTCACCAAGTTGCCCAGGTGGTCTCAAACCCGCGGGCTCAGGCAATTCACTCACCTCAACCTCCCAAGGCATGGGATTACAGGCTGAGCCACCGAGCCCGGCTGATTTGGCAGTTAAACTTCTACTTCTGTCCCCTACATGTTTTAAGTGTTCATTTATTTTAAAAATTATATTTACTGTCTTTTGTTGGAGGAATTCTTGATTTAATCATCCAACCCTCTAATTGATTCTCCAACTGTATCCTTTATGCCATTTATTTTATTTTTGTTTTTCTAATGACAAGGTCTCACTATGTTACCCAGGCAGGTCTCAAACTCCCAGACTCAAGCATTTCTCCTGCCTCAGCCTCCCAAATTGCTGGGATTACAGAAGTGAGCCACTGTGCCTAGCCCTTTCTGCCATTTAGCCAATCCATTGTGTTCTTTATTTCAAAGATTATTTATTTCATACCTATCTCTTACTGTTACCTAGGTCACCGTAACAAAACTTTTCTTGATATGGTAGTTTTTCTTCTTTTTTATTAGGTGACTTAGTTTTGTAATACTTCTTCCAGGGTGCTTATATTACTCACACATTTCATCCTCCTCTTTACCTCTCCTCAAGATATCATATTCCCTTGGAACTGTATGCTACTTTAGTTCTGTGTTGCTGTGTAGTCATGTGAGGGACCTGGAGAGGAGTTGAAGCCTGGACCATAACTTTTTTTTTTTTTGAGTTGGAGTCTCACTCAGTCGCCCAGACTGGAGTGCAGTGGCCGCTCCTGGCCACCGCAGCCTTGCCTGCTGGGCTCCGGCGATCCTTCCACCTCAGCCTTCCGAGTAGCCGGAATTACAGGCGCGCGCTACCACGCCCGACTGATTTTTTGATTTATTGTAGAGATGAGGTCTCGCTGCCCAGGCGGGTCTCGAACCCGTGGGCTCAGGCAATCCACTCACCTCAGCCTCCCAAAGGCGCGGGATTACAGTGGACCATAACTTTTAAGATTTCAAATGAGTTTAGGGAATAGAATGGGGTTATTTTTAAGGGTACAGGCCTTCTGATCTTGCAACCAAGGCTCATCTATTCCCTCTTTGCTTCTTTCCTGGATGGCCTTACTCTTTAGCAAGCCTCCTAGTCCCTCTACCTCAGTCCCCTTCTCCAGGTACTAGCATCCTTAGATGTGAATACTACCAGCTATCCATGGGAAGCGTGTTGGAAAGAGAATCTCAGGGGCTGGCCAGCCAGCTCTTACTGTACTGATTATCAGTTTTTGCCCCATCTGTGTTCTTGTGCTGTACTCATATAAACCCACTGTATCTTTTTTTTTTTTTTTTTGTGAGTTGGAGTCTCACTCTGTCGCCCAGACTGGAGTGCAGTGGTCGCTCCCGGCCACCGCAGCCTCAACCTACTGGGTTCCAGCGATCCTTCCGCCTCAGCCTTCCAGTAGCTGGAACTACAGGCGCGTGCTACCACACCCAGCTAATTTTTGATTTATTGTAGAGATGAGATCTCGCCAAGTTGCCCAGGTGGGTCTCGAACCCACGGGCTCAGGCAATCTACTCACCTCAGCCTCCCAAGGCATGGGATTATAGGCTGAGCCACCGAGCCTGGCTAACCCACTGTATCTTACTGATGCTGCTGCTTTCCTTCCCAGTGTGGGAAAGGGAAGGGCCTATGAAGAAAGTTCTGTTTTCCTACAGGTTATTCTATGCTATGACACAGCCCTTCTCCCACTTGCAAGGACCTTATTCATTCAGTGCTAAGCACGAACTGTCCTCTACCTTTCTAAGGATTTGTCAGAGTTTTGTGATAAAAACTTCTGGGACCTACTAAGTTTTCATCTTGTTTCTAAAATTTCTAGGGTTTGATTCCTGGAGAGAGCCAGCAGGCTGTGCTGGCTGCCTATCTTGTCTTTTATAAAAAAAAAAAAAAAAAAATCTTAAAAAAATCTTTTAAGTACAGTCATGTGTCACATAATGATGTTTGGTCAGTGATGAGTTGCATATATGATGATGGTCCCATAAAATTATAATATGTATTTTTACTGTACCTTTTCTATATTTAGATACACAGTCACCATGTGTTATAGTTACCTATGGTATTCAGTACAGTAGTATGTTGACAGATTTGTAGCCTAAGAGCAATACACTGTACCATATAGCTTATGTGTATACTAGAGCATACCATCTAGGTTTGTGTACGTGAACACTGTAGTGTTTGCCAAATGACAGAATTGTCTAAAGATGGATTTCTCAGAGCAAACCCTGTCATCAAGCAATGCATGACTTTACACTTACATGTTTAATATTACTTGATTAGAATTATTTGTATTTTTGGTTTGTAGTTTATTTAGCATTAGGTCATGGAAATATTCATGTCAGGAAAAACATAGTGATTATGTTTTATAATCAGTGATAATAATTAGTGATTCTTACTATAGGCAATCGCGACTAGGAAGGGCAGGGAATAAGGGAGGGGGTGGATGATAAGAAATTACTTAACGGGTACAATGTATGTTATTTGGGTGATGGAAACACTAAGAGCCCTGACTTAGTCACTACACAGTTTATCCATGTAACAAGATTACACTTGTACCCTATGTATTTATACATATTAAAAAGATAAAGTTAGGGAAAAGAGGATAATTTCTACTTAATAAAAAACCTAAGAATATAAAGCTTTCTATTTTTAACTAATTCACTTAATAAACTTTCACTGTTATGGTCCAAATAAATCACCTTCTAGGTGGTTTTGTGTGATTAACTCTGTCTAATGATTCTAAGTTTTATTTAAAAAATTCTCAAGAATGGGGAGCCAACATACTACTTTACTGCCTCTTAGATCCTTACACAGTACTTGAATCCTAATATGCCGTTAATAAACTTTAATAGACAAAAGTATATCTCTCTGCAGGATTTGTCAGCCTCTTTAGAGGCAGTTTATGGACAGGCCAAAGAAGGAATAAACTGTGAAGAAATACTTAGAACATTTCATGACTGGAAGTGTAATAAGAGAGAGGAGTTCACCAAAGTTAGAAGTGATACAGAGGCTTCACTACAGTGTCTTCTAGCATGGTTCCAGAGAAACTTAAAGGTAATGAAAGCTTTTGCTCAGTGGTGTTTATAGCACAAACCAGGGAATATATATTTTAAAAATTGTATTCCTTTTTTTGTTCAAGAACTGACATTGTCTGCCTACTGCATATCAGATTTAAACTTGCCACCCGAGTAGTCAATGGTATCTTTTTTTTTTTTTTTTTTTTGAGTTGGAGTCTTACTACATCACCCAGGCTGGAGTGCAGTGGCATGCATGCTCACAGCCACCCCAGCATCAACCTGCTGGGCTCAGACGATCCTTCCGCCTCAGCCTTCCAAATAGCTGGAACTACAGGTGCTTGCTACCATGCCTGGCTAATTTTTTGATTTTATTGTAGAGATGAGGTCTCGTGAAGGTGCCCAGGCTGTTCTTGAATCTGTGGGCTCAGGCAATCCTCTCACCTTGGCCTCCCAAAGTGCTGGGGTTACAGGTTGTCAACTTTCTTTATTAGCTTTTAGTCAGACTGCTCCTTTTGTTAGTCTCAAAAAACATCATAGTGGTCATGTCTCTCTTTTTTCTCATATTTTTCCTATGGATTGTTCTCTCACCTCTCTAATTTTCTTTAGGTATGCTATATGCATGTACCTTTTTTTTTGGTACATAAGTTTTATGAGGCCAGATGCTTTATTGTTTTCTGCATTCTTATTTCCCCCACCTTGCCCAGGGTATAGCCTTAATACTATGCTTCAGGTATAAAGGCACAATGGATGCTGATTGAGTTAATTAAATGAGATACTTAATTTGATTTTTGCAAATGAGGTTTTTGATCTATCTGTGGAAGAATCACTAACTTCTGAAGACACAAATGGTAATATTGATGAAATCCTAGAGAAGACTGAGTCAAGTGTCTGCAAAGAGCTGGAGGTATCTCTGATTGTAAGTATTCTTATTCTTCTTATTACTTTTTTTGAAGCAATATGGTTTCCTTTAATAGTTAGAAAGTATTAACCAATAATATGGCTTCTTTTGGTAGTGAGGATGTATTAAGATTGGTCCAAACTTTCCTTTTATAGGTCTGTTTGAAAGAGTAACATTGTCAGTTATAATCCAAACACAATGTAGTCTATTCTTCTATAAGGTTGCACTTTAATTTTAATGGACATTTCACATTAAAAAAAATTTAATGTTTAATTCTGAGAAAAGTTCTCTTAATCTGAGTAGATCAGATCAGCTTTCTATATCATTTGATTCTTGAGTCAGTGAAAACTTGATATAAATTCTGGGAGAGTTCTGAAAGTGGATACATAAGATTGATTGTAGTCCTCTTTCTCTATTGTCTATATTCTGCATTGCTATGTCAAAGTAAAAATTAGTGTAGCTCCTCCAGTGATCATTTTGTGATTTTAATGACTTTGCTTACTGGGATCCTTTCTGTTTTTAGACTGCTTTCCAATGTCTCAGTAGTTATGCTTTCCTTTTTACTTGTTTCTTTTTTACTTTTTGCAGTTTTATTCGTGTTGGTGTTAAAAATACATTATGAATTTTCCTGTTGTTAAATAGTTCTTACTTAGATGGTTTTGTTAGACTTGATTTTAGAAATTATTGTTAATAGATGATTAAGTTTTGAAGGTTTATATGCTTTTATTTAGCATCTTAATATCCCTGATTTCTGTTACTGTTCTACTGCAGACAGATTTGGGAATAATAGTTTAATAGAGTAAAATTTCCCATGTGAACATCTTTGTTTCTTTTGGGTGTTCTGTTTGTTTGTTTGTTTTTTAGAAAGACAGAGTCTCTGTCGCCCAGGCTGGAGTGCAGTGGTGCAATCATAGCTCACTGCAGCCTGGAACTTTTGGGCTCAAGCAATCCTCTCACTTCAGCCTTCCAAGTAGCTAGTTTTACGGGATGAAGCCACCAAGCCTGACTAATGTTTTATTTTTGTAGAGACGTGGTCTCATTATGTTGCCCAGGCTCCGTATGAACACCTTTGATATCAGTCTGTCTTCTGCCTAGAAAATCATTTGTGTTAAAGAACTACTTTGAAATGAATAGAAATTTGTCAAAGGCATCATTTTGAAATTTATCCGTTGTTATTGAAGGTTTTAACTACTTTGGACACTTCTTTGTATTTAATTCCATGTGTGTAATTTCATTTAGGAGCAAGGTGTTGCAGACAAGGAGATCATTTTAAATACATATAGTCAAGTACTGCAGAAGATTCGCTCAGAGGAAAGGCTTATTGCCAAAGTACAGTCTAAGTACAAGGACAGTATTGAGGTTGGATTATGCTTTCTCTTACTGATCTTATAAATTAATACTTTGAATTTTTTTAATACCTAAGCTTTTTTCATGTTGCTTAATAGTAAATTATTATTTCTAGAATTTACTATAACTGGAAGTGATGGTTTTTGTTGATATAAAAATATTGAATTTTTAAAATTAAGTCTCAAATCTTTTATTTTCGAATATCCTTTAGAATGTAACCTTCATTATCATTTTCTTTCTGCCTGTATAGATTTATAGAAAATTTGCTATAAATGTATACAGAAAGATAAGAAGAAGTAATAAAAACATTGCTTATAATCCCATTAGCCTAAAAGATAGTTTGAGAGTATTTCCTTTCTGGATTGTTATGCATTGCATTGTTTTGTAAGCTATTTTGAAAATATTTTCTTTTTGTGGTATATTATGAACATTTTCCCATATGATTAATAATTCTTCTGTATTGTCATTCTGAGTGACTTAATCATCATCCCTGTATAGATGTACAACAGTATTATTTAACCTTTCATCTGTATTAGACATTAAGATTGCTTCTAATTTTTCTACCATAAATAACACTGTACATATGTTTGTACATATCTTTGTATGTTTTCAGATTTTTAAAATTATAATTACCAAGTTTAAAGGAATGAATGCTATTAAAACTTAATGCATATTGTCAAACCACTTTTATTAAAAATGATTTCAGTTTACATCTTCACTAGAAATTTCTTTTCATGTATCTCACTGTATATCTCAGTTTGAAATATTACTTTAGTCCTTGCTACTATGAGTGCTGACACTTTTAAATGGAAACATGAATAATTAGGAAATCAATTGGCTGAATTATTTTGTTGAAAATTACATAGTTTCTTAGTATCTCAGTCTGAACTCAGCAAGTACTAGTTGAATCTTAATAGAGAAATAATAAAATGGTCAATGACTATTCAATAAATATTGTCTTGCGTTTGAAATACAGTAACTCTTTCTCTTTCTTAGTTTAAAGAGCAGATTATTGAATGTTTAAACAAGAGTCCCAGTGTGGATCACTTGCTGTCCATTAAGAAGACATTGAAAAACTTAAAAGCTCAACTGAGATGGAAATTGGTTGAAAAGAATAATTTGGAAGAAGTAAGGAAACAGTTGCATATTTTTTTAACTTTTAATTTTTTTTAATTTTAAAGATGTGGGGTACAATTCAGGATTAGGTATACAAGTGGTCATCGTATAGGTAAAGTTGGGGCCTTCCTTTGGTCTCCACTTTGCCTGGTTTGAGATCAGGTGCCTTTATTGATGTTGTATTCCCTCCTTCACCCCAGCAATTTCCCTCTACTGCCAATCCCTTTCTTATAGTATTATGATAAATGTTCAGGGTTCGCTTATGACTGAGAACATGTGGTACTCTGTTCATTGTTTCTGTGATAGATCACTGAGTATGATAGATTATAAATCCATCAAAGTTGCTGCGATGTTATATGTTTGTCCTTCTTTATGGCTGTGTAATATTCCATTGTGTATATGTACCATATTTTTTTTTAATCCAGTACAGCTTCAGTGGGCAGCAGAGTTGGTTCCATATTTTTGCAGTTGTGAATAGTGCTGCAGTAAACATGCATGTGCAGAGTATCTTTTTTGTAGAATAATTTGAGTTTCTCCAGGTATATTCCCAGTAGGGGGATTGCTGGGTCATATGACAAGTCAAAGTCTAGTTCTTTTAGAAACGGCCACACTGTCTTCCAAAGAGGTTGCATTAGTTTGCATTCCCACCAGCAGTGTAGAAGCATTCCTGTTTCTATGCATTCTTGGCAGCATCTGTTGTTTGTTTTATAAATGATGGTTGTTCTTATGGGGATTAGGTGGTATCTCAGTATGGTTTTGATTTGCGTTTCTCTGATGATGAGTGAGGCTGAGCACTTTTTCATGTGTTTGTTGGCTGTCCGTATATCTTCTTTTGAGAAGTGTCTATTCATGTCTTTTGCCCACTTTTTAATGGGGTTGTTTGTTTTTTTCCTTTTGGTCCTTGTAGATCCTGGATATTAGGCCTTTGTCAGATACATAGTTGGAAAATATTTTTTTCTCATTCTGTAGGCTGTCTTCCCACTTTCTTGAGTTTTCCAGAAGCTTATCCGTTTGTTGAGGTCCCACTTGTCTATCTCATTCTTATGGCATGGACACTTGGGGTTTTGATCAGGAATTGGTTGCCCATTCCAATTTCCATAAGGGTATCTCCTGCATTTTCTAAGGTTCTTATAGTTTGAGGGTTTACATTTAGGTGTTTGATCCATTTAGAGTTGATTTTTGTGTATAGTGATAGGTAGGGGTCCTGTTTCAATCTTCTGCATGTGGTCAGCCAGTTTTCCCAGCACCATTTACTGAATAGGTTCTCCTCTCCCCAGTGGTGGTTGTTGGAGGCCTTGTTGAAGTTGAGTTGGTTGAGAAATTGAGGTTTTGCTTCTGGAATCTCTGTCCTGTTTCATTGGTCCGTATGCCTATTCTTGTACCAGTGTCAGGCTGTTTTGCTTATTGTAGACTTACAGTAAAGTTTTTTTTTTTTTTAACGGATGAAGTCTCACTCCATTGCCTAGGCTGGAGTACAGTGGCACACTTATGACCACCTCAGTGTCGACCTGCTGGACTCAGATGATCCTACCTTCCAAGTAGCCTGAACTACAGGCATGTGCTACCATGCCCGACTAATTTTATTTTTATTTTTATTATAGAGATGAGGTCTCACCAAGTTGCCCAGGCTGTTCTTGAACCCGTGGGCTCAGGCACTCCCCTCACCTTGGCCTCCCAAAGTGCTTGAGCCACCATTCCCGGCCTATAGTAAAGTTTAAAATTTGAAAGTGTGATACTGCCCATTTTGTTTCTTTTGCTGAGGATTGTTTTGGCTATTCGTGACTGTTTGTGTTTCCATATGAATTTCTGTATTGTCATTTCCAGGTCTGAGAAGAATGATGCTGGTAACTTAATGGGTATTGCGTTGAATCTGTAGATTGCCTTCGTTAGGATGGACATTTTAACAGTATTGATTCTTCTAATCCATGAGTATGGGGTATTTTTCCATTTGTTTGTATCTTCTTGTATGTCTTTAAGCAGTGTTTTGTAGTTCTCCTTGTAAAGGTCTTTCACTTCTCTGGTTAGGAAGATGCTGAGATATTTCATTTTTTTTTGTGGCTATTGTGAATAGGATTGTGCTTTTTATTTGGTTTTCTGCCTGCTTGCTGCAGGTGTATAGAAATGCAACTATCTTTTGCATGCTGATTTTGTACCCTTAGACTTTACCAAAGTTGGTTATGAGGAGGCTTTTGACAGTGTTCTCTACTGTTTTCAAGGTATAGGATCATGTCTTCAGCAAAGAGGGATAACTTAACTTCCTCTTTTCCTATTTGGATATCCCTCATTTCCTCCTGTCTAATTGCTCTAGCTAGGACTTCAGACACAATGTTGAGCAAGAGGGATGAGAGTGGGCAGTCTTGTCTTGGTGTGGTTTTTGGGGGAAATGTTTCCAGTTTCTGTCCGTTTAGCAGTATGCTGACTGTAGGTTTGTCATAGGTGGTGCTATGTTATGTTCCTTGCATGTCTAGGTGTTTGAAGTTTTTTTATCAAGAAAGGGATGCTGGATTTTATCAAAAACTCTTTCTGCATCTAATGATATAATTATTTGCTTCTTGTTTTTACATCTGTTGATGTATTAAATTACATTTATGGTCTTGTGGATGTTGAACGAGTGCTGCATCCTGGGCAGGAAGCCTACTTGATCATGGTGGATGATTTTTGAGATGTGTTGGATCCAATTTACTAGAATCTTGTTGAGAATTTTTGCATCTATGTTCATGAGGGATATTGGCCTGTAGTTCTCTTTTTTTGTTGGTGCTTTACCTGGTTTGAGTATCAGTATGATGTTAGCCTCATAAAATGATTTGGGGAGAATTGCATTTTTCTCAATTGCCTGAAATACTTTCATTAGTATTGGTATCAGCTCCTCCTTGTATTTTTTTGTAGAATTCTGCTGGAAAGCCTCTGGTCCAGGACTTTTTTTGTAAGTAGTTTTTTTTTTATGACAGAGTCAGTTTCCTGGGTTGTTATTGGTCTGTTTAGTGTTTCAGTGTCTTCTTGTTTCAACTTTGGGAGGTTGAGTGATGCCAGTCCTCCATTTCATTTAGGTTATCAAGTTGTTTCCATACAGGTGTGCATAGTAACCTCTGATAATCTTTTGTATTTCTTTGGGGTCAGTTGTGATGTGATCTTTTGTGTTTCTGATTGTGTTTGTTTGGGCTTTTTCTCTCTTCTTCTTGGCCATTCTGTTTAGGGGTCCATCAATTTTGTTTATTCTTTCAAAGAACCAGCTTTTTGTTTTGTTGATTTTTTTCTATGATATTTTTGTCTTCTGCGTCCTGTATTTGGGCTTTTACTTTGGTGATCTGTATTCTTCTGCTAAAGTTAGGGCTTTGGTGGTCTTGTCTTTCCAGCTTCTTAGGTGATTGGTTAGGCTGTTAACTTGTGATCTTTCCATTTTCTTGACGTGTGATTGTACAGATATAAATTTCCCTCTTAGAACAGATGTCATAGCATCCGAGAGGTTTTGGTAGGATGTTTCTTTGTTATAATTTGCTTCCAGGAATTTTAAAGTTTTGTTTTGATTTCTGTGTTGACCCAGTAGTTGTTCAGCATCATGTTGTTTAGTGTCCATGTCTTTGTGGGTTTTAGAGGAGTTTTGTTGGTGTTTATTTTTATTCCACTGTGGTCTGAGAAGGTGCATGACAGTATTTCGATCTTATGAAATTTGTTTATGCTTGATTTATGGCTGAGGATGTGATTGATCTTGGAGTACATTCTATGTGGTGATGAGTAGAATGTATATTCTGTAGTTGTTGGGTGGAGAATTCTGTAGGTATCTATTAATTTTATTTGATCAAGCGTCAAGTTGAGGTTCGAGAGCTCTTCATTGATTTTTTGCCTTGATGATCTATCTAGGGTTGTTAATGGGACATTTAAATCCCCAGCTAGAATAGTGTTAGAAATATCTTTTTAAATTTTACTTAGTAGTTGCTTTATAAATACTGGTGCTCCTATATTGGGTGCACATATGTTTAGGATGGATATTTCTTGTTGATGGATTGAATCTTTTATCATTATATAGTGTTCTTATCTTTTAAAAATTTTGATAGCTTAACGGTTGTTTTGTCTGATGTTAAGATCATGACTCCTGCCTTCTTTTGTGGTCCATTCACCTGAAAACTTGTTTTCCATCCTCTAACTTTGAGTCTGTGTGCATCCCTTGTGGTGAGATGAGTCTCCTGGATGCAGAATGTTATTGGGTCATGTTTTTTTTTTTAATCCAGCTTGCCATTCTGTGTCTTTTCAGTGGTGCATTTAGTTCATTCACATTCAGGCTGATTACTGAAATGCGATTGTTTATCCCTGTCATGAGGTTCTTATAAAGTTTTTTCTTTGTTTTATTTTAGCTTTTGCATTGATGTATGTGTGTATTTTCAAGTTTTCAGTTACAATGTATTCTCTGTTGATTCTGTGTTCTGCCATTTTCTTGGTAAATGCATGGTCATTATTTTTTTTCTTCTGTGCTTAATACCTTTTTAAGCATCTTCTGTAGAGCTGGTCTGGAAGCTGCATAATCTCTTAGGAACTGGATGTCTGGGAAGGTTTTTAATTCCCCATCGCTGATGAAGCTGAGCTTGGCTGGGTAGGAAATTCTTGGTTGAAAATGTTTTTCTTTGAGGACTTTGAACATTGGACTCCAGTCCTTTCTAGTTTGTAGTGTTTCTACTGATGGGTCTTCTACTGTTCTGATTGGTTTTCCTGGTAGGTAGTCTGACCTTTCTCTCTTGCTGCCTTTAGGAATTTTTCTTTTACACCTACTTTGTGTGGGCAAATTACTGTGTGTCTAGGGATTGGTCTTCTCATTTGATGTCTTGCAGGGGTTCTCTGTATCTTTTGTGTTTGGATGGTCACATCTCACAGACGGGGAAAGTTTTCTTGAATAACTTCCTGGAATACTTGCTTCAAGGTGTTCTCCGTTTCCCTTTCTTCTCCTGGGATACCAATCAGGCATAGGTTCTGCCTCTTGATATAATTGCACATCTCGTGGAAGCTTTGTTCTTTCTGAGTTTTTTTTCTGTGTTTTTTACAAATTGGGTTAATTCAGTGTTTTAGTCTTCAAGTTCTGAGAGTCTTCTGCTTGATTAATTCTGCTTTCCATGCTTGTCATCTTGTTATTTATTTCTTGGATGAAATTTTTAATGGCCAGAATCTCTGTTACAAGTTCTTTCAGTGTTGCATCTTGTCTTTCTTGAGTCTTGTTCACTGTTTCCATCCATTCTCTAATCCCTGTTGTATTCTGAGGCCAGTTGTTGGTGACTCCCATTGTTTGGGCTCTGAGATCTGATTTTTGGCGTTTTCTCTTTGCAGTACTGGAAATTACCTGTGTTCCTCTGGTGATTGTTTTTCATTTGTGACAGATACCTTCCTTTTCTCTCTAGTTTCGTTATTCAGTGTGGGAGAGGCTTTCACTTCTGATGTTTGTTCATCCCTTTATTCTTCCCTGATCAGGGCTCTGAATTTGTTCTATTTTGAAACAGAGCTTTGGATAGGAAGCTTTGCTGTCTTTTGTAGTTTTGAGAGTTGAATAAGGAGGATGGGGAGCTAGGATTCAGAAACTACTTGCAAATCACAGTGTTCACTGATTGTGGTATGAGTTCCCTGAGACCCACTTCCTCCCACCACTGTATATGACAATGCAGTGGGTATGTGTGTGTACCCTCCAGTCCAAGATACAGTAACAGCAATGAGGAAAACAGAGAAAAGTAGAATGAAATGAGACAGACAACAATTAAAAAAATAATAAAACACAGAACAAGAGCAGAAACCAAACACACACACACACACACACACACACACACACACACACACTCCCCAAAACAAACTGAAATAACAACAAAGCAAAACAAAAAAACCCACCAAAAAACAGGGAAACCAAACCCACACACACACGCCCAACCCAAAATGAAAGAAGAAGACAAAGAGAAAAAAAGAAAAGAGAAGGAAGAAAAAAAAATGAGGCCGAACCCTCACACATGTATTTACACTCATATTGAACTAAAAAAAGAGAACAAAAAAGCAAAAACAAACCAAAAAAACTGAAAGATGACCACTCAATCCTTTACATACACACATAAACAGTAAACAAAAAACTAAAGAAAAGAGAGGGAAAAAAAGGGGTGAGGGGAATGAAGATTGAACCCTTACATACACATTCATGCACACAGGAAACATACTAAAAAATTAACAAACAAAACCTGCCCTCTTGTGACAGGTTCTATAGTTGTTCCTCTCAGCTGTCTCTCTGATGTCTCCTGCAGAGCTTTGGCCTCATTCACAGTCTACCCAGTGTCTGGTACAGGGAAGGAGGAGGGGATAGTGGGAGTGGGTGGGCCTTCAGTCCTCCCCTCCCGCTCTAGTATGGTCAGAGAATCCCCTCTGGTGGGGAGGTGTGGGATTGTTTCTTCCCCAGGTACTGGCAGGGGCACCCCAGCCAGGCTTATCCGGGAGTGGAGTCCCTCCTGGGTCCGTTCCTCTCAGTTGTGCACCAGCCATGTGGGTGTGATGTTCAGAGGATTGCTGGGAAGGAGGGGGTTGAGTCAGCCCCTGACTCACCACTGATCTCTTTGGAGGTCTTCCTTGTCCTTTTCTGGTCACACCCTTTGTCCCGAAGCTGAATCAGGGTAGTGGGTAGGGTATCTGAGACTCAGCACTCATCCTGTCCCTCCGGAGTTTATGCTTTTGGGATATTCCCTCTGGGTCAAGATCAACCCCTGAGGAGTTAATCTGCCCATCACAGAGATCAGGACAGTTCTGTCACTCCGTAGTGAACAAGCTGGAGCACCTTCCTGCCCAGTTTTCAAGGTGGTAGCAGGGTGCCTCTTTAGTCTTCTCCAGTGAGACTCTGCCTCTAGACTCCCTCACTGTGCTCCTGTGCTCCCTCTGCAGCTCTTGCTGCCAGAGTCCAGTCAGATGCTGCATCCAGCAGTCTCTCCCATCAGCTTCCTCCTGGGAAGGGCTTTGTTGACTGGAAAAAAAATGTCTCTTGGCTTCTGTGTCCAGGGAAGTGCTAGGGACCAAGCAGAACAGTTGCAGCACAAGCCACTTAATCAGGAGAGCCCTGGCCACTTGTTCCCGAGTTCATACTCAGTGAGCCACTCACATGCCCACTTACTCACTGATGCATAATGCAAAATTTTCCATATACTCACACTGAGACTCAGTCCAACTGACCACTGTCATCTTTCTGAGATCCTCCAACAGTTGCTTCTTACTGAACTTTATGTGCATCTCGTTTTATTTGGTTTCTGTTCATGAAAGTGATATATAAATACACTATAAGAGACATTACATTCCCATTTTGTTTTATATACTTTTATTTTAATATACGTTTTTCCTTGTGTATATAAGTAAAATTGAGATAACATTAGTGTAAACATTTTTCTATGTCATGAAATATTCTTTGAAAACATCTTACATAGCTGCCTTGGCTTTTAGTAACATGAACATTTTAGAATAATTTTTAAAACTTCTTTTGTTTGGACTGTTACAGTGACTATTGTAACAACAACGTATTGCAAGTGATAGATACCCCCAAAGGTAGAATTTTATCATAAAGTATTTTTAAGTTTATGATATCCTTTGTTAACTCTTATTTTATGGCTATACACACTATTTCTTGTAAATATTTTAAGTTGTTTTTATATGATAATAGAGCTGGAAGGATTAAGATGCTCTCTAATCTGGACTAATCTTTAGGCCTGAAACTTCATGAATAAAATTGTAATTATTTGTGCTCCCTTGAAGATTCGATTTTGTACATAAGGAATCTATATTATGTCTTAATCCAATTTGAAGTATCCCTCTTTCTCTTCTGAGCACTTAATTGGGAGTTTAGTGGAAACTATTCCAGAACTAATTTCATAGAGTTTTCCAGTTTTATCCTATTCTGGAATGAGGGGAAGTTGGTCTTTTATTGTCTAATTTTTCAACTTTTGAAGAAATCTAACTTTTAAAGCATATAAACCTTTTAAGGTGGCATGTCTTTTCATTGGAGTTTTATGGAGTCTTTGTGAGTCCTTCATCACCTTTCCTCTAGTAGACACTTCACAAATTTACTCATTGTTTCTTGTTTTTAACCAAATCTCATATAGAAAATAATTCCAGGGAATTCAGTTATATTCTGGTTTCCATTCTTAACATTCACTTTATGATGGCAATTGGCCATTTTACAGAAAGTCTATATAGCAAATTACGAGACAGGAAAAAGCTATGTAATTGATTTTATGTCTTTATTTTTTTGTAAGTTTCAGAAAAGTCATTGTTAGAATAAATCGATCTAAATTAATTCAGCAAGTGTTGAGAGGGTCTATTAAGTGCTAGGTACTGAAGAATACATGGAAATCACACAGAACAATTTACTGTAGAACTTGCATTAATTCTTAAAAGAAGACTTATTTTTAGCCTACCTTAATAAAAAACACTTTTTCTTCCTTATTAAAGTTTGATGACCATGATGACTTCGAAATTGAGAAAATCAAACAAGAAATAAATCAGCTGCGAAATAATGTCTTTCACGAAATCTATCACGAGAGGGAAGAATATGTAAGTATTTGGTTCTTTGAAGTTTTACATTAGATTTCACTCTAAAAATTAAATTCTAATATCCATTATATGAAGTGGACTATAAACACAAGACCAGAGGTGTTATAGTGGCATAGTAATATTTATATGAATTTATAAATTAACTTCAGATGACAGAATATTTTCTGACCATTGTACCAGTGTAGACATTACAGAAAATTATAAAGCAAAAGCATCACTTGTAACTTTTTCTCTCAGTGGTAATAGTAGTAATCACCATTAACTTCTGAACTTCTCATTTTCTTTTAGCCTTTTTTTTTATTTTTAGAATTGAGGTTATAGCATGAACACACTTTTGAATATTGCTTTTAGTTTCCTCATTAATGTAAAGCCTATACTTTTTCCATATATAAAATCTATATGAACATTTTTGCATAATGTTGCCATGAAAACATTGATGAAACAACATTTAATTGAAGAATGTAACAAAATAAGACTATCTGTTTTTGGTGGGGAATGTACATCTTTCAGATCCCCATTCTACCATTAATGTTTTTACCCTGAGGAAATCAGTGTATTTTCTTTTTAAAATGAAAACAGGGCTGGGTGTGGTGGCTCAAACCTGTAGTTCCAGCAACTTGGGAAGCCAAGGTGAGAGGATTGCCTGAGCCTGCAGGTTTGAGGCCAGCTTGGGCAACATGGTGAGACTTCGTCTCTACAATAAATCAAAAAATGAAACCAGGTGTGGTAACGTTCACCTGTAGTTCTGGCTACTTGGAAGGCTGAGGCGGAAGAATTGCTGGAGCCCAGCAGGTCTATGCTGGGGTGGCTGTGAGCATGCCATTACACTCTAGCCTGAGCGATTGAGTGAGACTCCAACTCAAAAAAATAAAAATAAAAACAATATTTTATGTCTGAAAAACATTATGAGACAGTTAGTTAAGAAACAGTACTTTGAGCTGGGCTCGGAGGCTCAGCCTGTAATCCCGCGCTTTGGGAGGCTGAGGTGAGTGGATTGCCTGAGCCCACGGGTTCGAGACCCGCCTGAGCAACTTGGTGAGACCTCATCTCTACAATAAATCAAAAATTAGCCGGGCGTGGTAGCACGCACCTGTAGTTCCAGCTACTTGGAAGGCTGAGGCGGCAGGATCACCGGAGCTCATCAGGTC